TCCATCAAACGTTCATGACAAGCTCCTAAAGTGCAAGATTAGCTTGCTTGTTTTAACCAACAAACCTATCACGATGAAACATTACTTTTGTTATCACATAAGTCACAGAGAAGCACCAAATCACCACAACTGAGAAGCTGGAACTGGAGAATATGTGACATTTCGCTTCAATAATGAACTTGATCCTAACCATTGTTCCGTCCATTGGCTGATCAATTAATGGACTATTTGTTAAAGAGCTCAAATGGAGCATCCACTGCTCCATGTGGGCTCGTGCACATACATCATCCAACCACATAACCAGCAGAATTCAACAACAACCAGCTCAGCAGTTCATCCACAAAGCAGCACACGCTCATCCCTTCACAGATACAGCAATGAGACACTTTGAACACTATGAACTGACAGGCAGAGACAATTCAAGGTCCCACATGTCACTGACACACACACACACACAGGCTGCAGGACTGACTCTAGAAGTTGTGTAACGTTAACTTCACCGTCTGACAGTCCGCCTCCCTGTGTAATCTGCCTCTACCGACACCAGTCTGCTGCTGCTCTGCTGCGAGCCGCCACCGTTACTTTTATCTTTCCGTATACTCACCTGCTTACACGGCTGTTCATGTATTATTAGCGTAACCTTCCCTCTCACTGTGCATGCACCATCATGACTTTTTCTACGACAACCAGCTTCCGCTTCCCGGTCGAGGAGGGACATTCGATCTAATCCTCCCCGGCGGGGAGGAAGAGGGGCCGCGTACAGTGTTTACCAACCCCCGCCGGCTATTTATCCAACTGTCATCTCTTAAATTGCATAATAATAACAAAAAAACACCCAACGTATCTTTCACACAGCTTATCGGACATCATATCCGTTAGATAAAAATCACACCATGTGTACGAACCTCCCTGTGTTCATGTGGAGTGTGTGCAGCTCCACTGAAGGTGACCTTCCACTGACATGCTGTTACCGAACATGTGCGTCAATACGAGTTAGCACAACACGAGCTGGTGCAATGTGATACGTGAACAAATCATGTGCTACACAGCCGGTTTGTGTTTTACCAGAAAACACCAATTTTCTGCTCCTTATGCTTGTGCTTGGGATTGAAGCGACGCACCGTTTGCGACAAGAGCGACAGCTTGCTTACTAGCTAGCTAGCTCGCTGGCTAGCCAGTTAGCTAATTAGCCGCATACTCATTTATGCGGAGGCTAGTGTTAGCATACCAGCTAACTTTTTGGGGGGTTAGTCTGGTGTGCCTGCAATGTCGGTGTAAAGCTGGAGCACATACTTATAGATATGACCCATGGATGTAGAAATGGATCAGATCCAGTGGAGACTGCTAGCTTGCTACTTAGCACACATGAACAGCAGCAAGCTAATTAGCAGATGCTGCTAGGTGCAAGGTGGACCCTCTAAACTTGGAGAGGCTACCAAGGAGATGGTTGGGAGGAGGAAGGGGTGCACCCCACAGACCACCACCTTGGGTCTGAGGACTTTAAAGTCACAAAACAAAGCATGGAGGTAAATGTCATTAGCTTTGGTGGATGCTATGCAGAGACACATGCAACAAAATATTAAATAAACGACACTGACAGCAGGTAATCCACATGGATGCTGGCTATATGAAGATGTAGTGTCAATGTGTGCATTATGATATGTGTTATCAGTGTGTGTATAGTGTGTGTTAGGTGTTAAAACAGCAGATATGCATCAAGCTGCTGTAGAGTCTCACCACAACCGCAGGAATCCTTCAGACGTGTCTTGCTGGATTCTTTGCCGTCCTGGGCTCCATCCCCGGCTTCATCCGCAACATCAACCGGATTACAGTTAGGCACTGACGCCGGGATGTCATCTGTCTTGCTCACCATGGTCGGCAGTCAGTGTGGCAGCAGAAATACCCCAGCAGCGGTGTTTTAAATATGTTCGTCTGTAGTAGAAATACAAAAATCTGCTTCTCCGGCTAACGCAGGCTAGCTGGCTACATGCGAAGGGTACAAGCTTACAAAAACAAGTCTACCGAGGAAGGACAGTGCTGTACATGGTGCTGATCACACGTGGTTTTCTCCTCCCCTCCCCTTGACCTCTTTGCCTTTGCGTTGCACTTCCCCACCCACCGAGCGTGGCGCTACGGAAAGCCACATGCGACAAATGTCACAAACTCCTCTTTGATTTTTTTTTCTTTTTTTTTTATTGGCAGTGTAGACTTAATGTTATGTACTGGAAAATCAAATGGGAAGGCTGGCTGAGTGGACACCAAGGTAACAGCACAGACTGAGATATCATTGACCTGACTGACCTCTGATGTCAGCTGCTGTCAGTCACACTGGCTTTTAACCTCCACACTGAGACAGATGCAGCTCACTGACACCAATACAACAGTGGCCTGTGCACAACTCCTTGTGTAACCCCCCTTCTCCTTGCACTTCTCCCTACTGTGCTACAGTACTGACTATCTCCAGATCTGCTGCGAGATAATATCATCAAACTCACAGCCCAACACGGGGACCTTCCACAAGAGCAGATATTGAAAGCAGTACTCACATTATTAAGGCATTTAATGTCTTTTGATACTCTACTAATGCACACAGGCACTCCCACATGTGAAGTGCAAACCAGTTGACGTACAGCCCTGAGCTATTTGGGCCAGTTGCCTGCTTGGAATATGATTTTCTTCTGCAGTAGGAGCAGTTCGTACCAGATTAAACTCATGATAAACAGCTGCCAGGTTAGTTTCGCCACTCAGTGTCACAACCTTGAGGGACAATCAGAGCCAGCAAAAGCAAATTATACCATTAAGTTCTCTGTAATCTCTTTTGTCCTGCTTCCTCCCTCTGCCACGGACAGGTGAGCACAATTAAGTCATTCTGTAAATAAGCTTACTGAAGGAGCGCTGCAGGACAAATCTCACAGCAGATGCAGTCCCCTGATGTGAAGTGTCAAAGATACAATCTGTCAATAATATCAATATTCATAATCGCACTCATTCAGTGATAACTTTAATAGTTTTTACAAACTAAAAGTGTGTAAGCACCTTTACTTTGGTGGGTATAAACACACGTTTTGTCCACCAAGAAAACAAACTGTGATTTCTGTCACGCCAAGTACTCACATCAACATTGTCTCTTTAATTTTCTAACCTCTATTAAGAAAAGTACGGAGGAATCCAGTCAGTTCTGCCTAACAAAGAGCCAATTTGGGCCTGACACATACTTTTTTTAATGTAATAAAGAGGACATTTTGCAGGGTGCAGATAATAGTATTATGAGTCTTCTGGGAGATAAAAGCTTCTTCTCCTACAAAGAAATACTGAAAAAATGAGTCTGGCCTGAGTGCTCTCTGAGAAGGCATTTTACTTTGATGACTATGCCATGGCAAATTGTACATATTTAAATAGTTTCACCACCTCATTATGAATCATGACCCTGAAATACTGTAGATAAGAATGTAAAGTACAATCATGTATGGAAAGATCTGAATGAAAATCATTTTGGTACCATATTTTTTACACTCATATTATTATTTCTTTGTTATATGACACACATTTGTTGAAGCTGTCCTGATGGAGCAGGTGATATCATGGACTCAAACAACATGTGCATGTCCTCCTAAAGTCCTACTCAAGACAGATCTTGGTCTCGAGGCCACTTTCTAAGGGTCACATCTCAGACTCACTTTTTTACTTGGCCTTGAGGTGGTCTCAGGCAAAGAGGACTAAGGATTTTATTTCAAGACCAGTCAAGACCACAACTGTGGCGATGTCCCTAAATTGCTTCTGCAAAAAAGTGTTGGTGTTTGTTTGCTCGTAGAAAACAAAGGAAAATTCCCACACGTAATTTTCACCTCTGCATTGCCCGTTGATTATTTTATTGAGATATTTCTCATGGTACATGTATGCATACACCGATCAGTCAAAGCATTAAAACCACTGACAGGTGACATGAATAACAATGATCATTGTTATAATGCAATGATCTGCTGGGCCTGGGATTCATGTGGATGCCACCTGATGTGCTCCACCCCCCCAAACACCTTTGCAAACCAAGTGCACCCCCTATCCCCTGTGGCGATAGCATCTCCTGACAGCAGTTTCCCCCCAGCAGGACAATGCACCGAGTCACACCTGAAAAAACTGTTCAGGAATGACCTGAGGAACATGACAAAAAGCTCAAGGCCTCGACCTGGCCTCCAGCATTTGTGTGGGACATGCCAGTGCCCCAGAGGTCCACCCAATCCATGGTGGAGCCCCCTTGGCTTGAACTCGGCTTAGATCTGTCAAGGTATGGATGCAGGACCTCTATGGTGCCTGACACCGGGACAGAGGCCTGTGGGCTGTTAGATGGGGTACAGTCATGTGCCACAGATCCTCGATCAGACTGTAATCTGGGGATGTTGGAGGTCAGATCAATGCCTTGAGCTCTTTGTCACGTTCTTCAGGCTATAGCAGTTTTTTCAGTGTAGCATGGTGCATTGTCCTGCTGGGGGGCAACTGCCATCAGGGAGTGCGGCTGTCATGAGGGGGTTTATTTGGTCTGTGACAGTGTTTGGATGGGTGGAGCGTGTCAGGTGGAATACACACGAATGCCAGGACCCAAGGTTTAGCCGCAGAACAATGTTTTGGCTGTATGTATATGCATGTATATACAGCATGCCAACAGAAGAGGTGAGTGAAGAGGAATCTTTATTTGTTTTCTCTGTGTGTTTTTATAAGAATGTGGATTTGTCAATTCAATTTTTGGAGTGCCTGTTTGGATGTTCCACATTTTATTATTAAGTCTGTCCTGCAGTGTGGGACTCACACTAGTCTGGTCATGTCTACAACACTGACGTGAACTTTAGGCTCCTTTTTTCATTAAAGGTAATTTAAAAAAGAATGACATAAGCATTTCTGTGGAAAGGGAAATCGTTTAATTTAAACACCTGCAGATGTATTCACTGCTTCTGTCAAAACAAGTTTTCTCTGATATACTTCCAGGCAACAATGACAAGCAGGCAGCAGACTAGACAGTCCTTCCTTTTATTCCAATTACATGTACAGTAGATCACTATAGGAAGCTAACACAGTATATGCGGTAATCAGTCAACAGTTTATGCTCACCCAAGGACCAAACCATACAACAACCCAGAGCAACATCTTCATGTTGGGTACCACACTGCGTTATTGCTGGAGACCACATAACATGTCAAACAAGATGCTTCATGGTGCAACATACAGTCCTCTGAAATGTTTCTTGAAGATGCAAAATAAACTCAATGAGGACAAAACCTGGACAAGAAGCTGCTGACATTTGTTATTATTATGAGGATTAGGGTTATTATAAAGGCGTTTAGAGCGATGGAAGACATTTCCTGTGGGTCTGAGTGAATTACTTTCTTGCTATGTTGTGAGATGTACTGCTCCGAAAAGTAGAAAAAGCAAACCAGGCGGTGAAGATTTACTCTCTTTAGCTGAAATATTCATGAAAAGACATCTTCGTTAAGGCATCACACCATTCGCCTTCATGTTAATTTTAGTGGTGGGCCTCTTTGGCTCATTAGCATTTTCCCTCAAAGCAGACAAACAAGTCAACAGTCTGTAGCTGCATGCAGCAACCTGGATTTGGGTGATTAATCCAAGTTGTTACATAACACCAAAGCTATCGATCACCTGAAATGTGTGATGTGGTATGCAGGGTGTTGAGTTATTACTATGAGAGGTGGATGGAGAGTTTAATCTACCTGGCGCTTCATTTGGATGACGTGGAGTGATGAAGTCTAACAGTCTAAATTCAGGATTCCTGTTGGTGGAAAAAAAAAAAAGTTTTCAAACAGACAGCTTTGTACGTCCATCCCTGGCTGCCTCTTACAGGATAGAATAGTGCACACATCATGCTAATGGCTTACCAGCTGAGGTGTGAATGAAAACCCTTGTCACATTTGCATTTTAGCTAAAAAATTAGACAGGGCAAAGTTCGTTTTCATCCAGACAGTCTCATGTGGCATAATAATATGCCCATTTGCTTAACGCTGCTTCACACGCAGCATGTCAGGTTCCTCGCTTGCCTCCTGTGAACTGTAACATAACATTTAATCAAGTCAAGATAATCAAGAGTCAGTGACAATCAACAGAAATAATCCATTAGACAAGTCAGAAAAATATTAAGCAAAACATACTGAGCTCAACGGTTACAAAATACAAAGTTAAACAATCATAAAATCTATTTTAAACACCTCAAGTGTCCTTAATCCAGCTGGCGTGACCTTCTAAGAATATATAAATATATTGATATATTGCTTTATTGAGGATATACTGCTAAAACATGATGCTAAACTTCTAATCAGTTTGCTGCAGCAGGCGAGAAAAGCCTCGCAGCAACTAATCACGATTGAATCCAGTCTTGTAGGAAGGCTCGTTTCAAAGACACGGATGCTCAGTTAAGTCATGGCTCAAGTATAAATCAACTGTGACTTTGGATCAAAAGTAACTGAGGTGCCATATTACGTACAGTAAACCCTTATATGCAAACCCCAAAGAGTCCTAAAAAGTATTTCTGAAACCAAAGGACACTATACATCAGTAATGTCCCAAGTTTCCACACTGCATTTCTTCTACCCACAACTCCTCTATTATAAGGCAGTAATTACAGTAGAATGGACAGTGAAGGAGTAACATAAAAAGTAAAATGTCCTACATTAAAATAAAGTCAAAGTGTTAATTTGATCTTCTCTTTTACTGCTTTTTTTTTTTACCCCAAGTTGCTGTTTGCTTCTTGTTACGCTAGGGGCCACCATGTGCATTTGTTCTGATAACAGGACACACACACGGCTTTCGGCTGCGCCTGCCCTCTGGTCAGTTACAGCACACAGTCACCGTACTTGTGTGCATTTAGACACAGATACGCCGCGCAAAATGAAAAATAAACACTTTGAAAATCAACCAGACTTCAGTTAAAAACCAAAACCTCCAGTCTTGTTCTCGTTTGTCCATTTTTCCTGAGGTGAAAAGAAACCCCAACACAACCACAAACACAAAGTCATTGAAGTAATCAGAGTGTGTGTTTGTGTGTGTGTGTGTGTGTGTGTGTGTGTGTGTTTAGTGCGCAAACCACACCTAAGTGAAACACACGGTCAAACGCATCACAACTCATCATCACCACCTGTTTATACAAAGCAGCACACATGCGCCTCAGTGTGGATCCTTTAATAAAACAGACTCTAAATATTGTGTTAGCTAATCCAAGACTTTAAGTTTACACATGGCCAACAATACTGCTATCTGATCTGTCCTTCACCTAAGAGACGCACTGATAAAAGAAACAAACGCTGCAATTTGAAGAGAAAAAACAGGTCAGTTTTTGTCTTTGACGACAAGTAGTTTTGTTAAAGGTATACGATGCAGGATTGTCGGTTACTCTTTGTAAACACATTTGCAAGTGAAAGCAAAAGCCAACCCCAGATGCACTTTTGTTTGGTGTTTCACCCTGCTACGTTTGTGTTTCATTTTTCGGTGCTGTGTCTCCAAAGCCCTGTTTCCACCGAGCAGTACGGTTCAGTTCAGTTCGGTGCGCTTATTTTCCGTTTCCACTGTGAAAAGTTGTGGATGGTACCAATGGGACCGTTCTGTACCGTCCCCATTTTTGGTCCCCCCTGTGTTGGGGTACCTAGCACACAGATCTGGTACTAAAAGGTGGAGCTGTGAACACTGCAGTCTGTTGATTGGTCAATAGAGGACGGTCACTCTGCTCAGGGCTGAGTTGAGGCTGATTTTGAGGCTCATGTAACCACTGTTCATACTGTGGAGAGTTTTATTACTTTAACTATAAAATGAAAGGATGTTTTGCTGCCTCTTGCAGCAGCTGGAGTCAGAGAAAAAAATAACTTAATTCACTGGGCCGACTGCCGACAACTTTTCAGGTGGAACGTTAACTTGTAATATTACTCAACGCATGAGTTGATGATGTAAATCAGTCAACACACCTTAAATTTCACTGTGTCGGGGCGTCGGTGGCTTGGTGGTGGAGCGGGCGCCCCATGTGCAGGGCTGTTGCTGCAGCGGCCTGGGTTTGACTCCAGCCTGTGGCACTTTGCTGCGTGTCACTCCCTCTCTCTCTCCCCCTTTCACACTTGTCTGTCCTGTCCATTGAGGGCCGAAATGCCCCAAAAAATATCTTTAAAAAAAAAAAATACTTATAAATTTCACTGTGTCAACTTGGACCATTACTTTAGTTTTTATATGACATACACTTTTAGTAATGAGTGGATCTTCCAGTGTTTATATATATTAATTTCGACCTGGTTATGTGAACTGCATATATTCTAACCCTCACTCAGAGAAAAAAAGCGTTGTGGAGCGTTGTTCCTGTGGGCTACTGCGACACTAAACCCCTGAGCTTGCCTTAGAAGGACTAAATGCACAAACCCGCTATTTTTAAATATCTTATAAAGAGAGACTCTCACTGCAGCCTGCTCTGTTTCGTTCTGAAAATGTCAGTGTGACAAAGACTTTCCATCTCTCACACCAGTGATGAGGAAATACAGTGCGTGCTGGACGGAGCAGTGAGTGACAACAACCCGCCCACATTTAAGTACTTGAGTACTGTTTGCAGTGGAAACGCTAGGGTCTAGGTACCATGTCTGAAGGGTTGCTTTTGGTTCCAAAGGTACCATACCAAAAGTGTTTGGTGGAAACAGGGCTGGCACTTGGCTACTACCTTTTAATAAAGCCCCGACCTCACCTGAGTGCTGTGAGGGTACACGCCCATGAACGTCCTAAACACGGACAATAAGAAGAAACAAAGAAAATACAGGCAAAGGTCTCTGCAGAAACATACACTGCCACATACTTGTAGTGTGTCATGAGTGATGATTAAGATGGATTTCTTCTGTATGACTCTATATATTGATATTTAGGGAAAATCCTGCACACTATACCTTTAATGTATGGTCAGTTTAAAGAGTTAAGCATTTGAGGTTACAGCTGGGGCTAGGATATTGACCCAACACTGGGATTATACGTCCTCTTCTGTCAAAATCAGATATGAATTTACTGTGTTAGGTATAAAGAGACGTAATACAGATAAAATTTATCAGCTGTAGAGCTTAACAGAGCGATATGCAGTGCAGTGGTCATGGATTGAAGTTCAGAAAAAAAGTTATCTCAAGTTACTATTTCTAATTGTATTTTTTCAAAGTAATGGCCAAACACCTCTTTTCAATCAACATTTTTTCACTTGGAGGACTCACACAGACGTGCATGCCACATCAGATATTTTCAGCTGTGACTCAGTCAGGGGGGGCCACACAAACGTTTGGTCACGTGGTTGATTTACGATTGGCCTTGAAAGTTCAAAGTCGGCTGGGCTACACAACACGTCGGCTTGTAGCCCACCTAAAATGGCTGCTACTCAGTCACCACAGATCAAAAAGGGGCTGCCACAGTATACTGAGCATGTGACACCAGTGTAAACAGATAATTCATCTAACTTCATTTCAGACCGACTTATAGTGACACTGAGTTTCGCTTTGCAAGTTATTTAAGGTTATATCAAAGTCCATATTTAAAAAAGTGTCTACAATAAGTGTGATGTAATTCAATAGCTAAAACCAGTCTCAGTATCAATTTGGTCAAAGTGCAGAACAACAGTTAACAGCATTAACAGTCTGACAGGAGATAATCATACAGTGATCACACTGCAGTTAAAAGCACAAGTCACAGTAGTCGCTAATCTGCCTTTGTCTCAGCAGCAGGGGGTGCTGCGGCTGAAGACACCAGTCTGGCAGCTTCACCCTGGTGCTCCACTGGCCCCTCTCCACCTCCTTCCTCCTCATCCTCCTTCTCTAGCCCCAGTGGAGGCTGTCTTTGTGCTGCAGTGTGCCTGGAGCGAGCCCTGTGCCTTCGAGGGTGGAGGAAGAGTGCAGGGTCCGGCATCGCTGTGGGCTCTGCGGGGCCCATCACTTTCTCTATGGGCACACACTCGCGGGCACGCTCCACTCTCAAAGACGCCCTCGCGCTCTTACGCTTGGGTTTGACCACAGGAGACGAAGGGGAGGCTCCTGATGGCATCTGTGGAGAAACAGAGTTCTGCTCGGCACCATACTGGGCCCCCTGACTGTTGGCACGGGCGAGGAGTCCCTGCCTCTGCTGCATCCGCTGGTGGTGCAGTTTCTGCCTGGCAGCGTGCAGCTGGAACGAGAGGTATGCTGCCGCCTCCGTTTGTTTCTGCAGCTCCGTGTTGAGGATCGTGGAGCAGTGGCTGCGCCGTTTGAGCTCCTCGAGGAAATGGCGCTCCTTTTCCTTGAGATTGGCTCTCAGCGCTCCCACCAAAGCCCCTTTGTGACTCAGCTCCTTACGAAGCTCTCCTAAGGTGCACTCCTGCTCGGACAGACGGCTATCCAGGTCCCAACACCGAGCCTCCAGGAGCTCCTCTTCCTCCTGTAACTCTGACACAGAAATACAAGTGTTAAATACCTGCAGGGGTTAGTTTCCATATCACTGTGAAAGGACATGCTACAGTTTATCTATGTAGAAAAAGTTTGAAAATTCACCAAGTAACAAAACCCACTACAATGTACAACAAAATCAGCACATACACTTAAACCATACACGGCATTTACACACAGTTTAATACATGCTGTGCATTACCATAGAGGCAGATTATGTATCTTGCCTCAAAGCGCAAAACTGAGCATTTGTTGGGCCACACAACCTCTAATCTTCATCACATACTGTGTGACCACAGAGGCACAACTCAGAGATTGTCCAGATCATATTCTGTCTGGGATCCACTCAGTAAAACAGATATGAAAGAGGTTAATGGGACCAAGCCGGCTAGAAAATGGTTCAGTCTGGTGGCTTTAGAGCTGGTATGACACACATACAGTATAAGGAGTGACAGACTAGAGCTGGGCAATATGTCAATAGCTATTCTTTATCATCTAGTGTCATCATAGTTTGGGATTTGTTTTTAAGACAGATTCATGATACACAAATGTGTCTTTTAAATTAATGAAACAGTCAAATTTCTAACAGATTATTTTTGAAAGACTCCGGAACATCTGCTCACTTTGCATTATAGCAAATTACACATCAACTAAACATGTTCACATGTGATTTTCCATACCTGAACAAATATCGCAGTGTGCAAAGGTTGAAGAGTAGTGGTGGGAGGATTGATACTAAAATACTGATGCTACTAACATTACATTTTAATTTTGAAGATCGACTCTAACGTCTATAGGTTTAATATCAAAAAGGGATGACTTTCTTGTACCCATTTGTATATCAAGGACAAAACTGTCAGCACAAAAAAGGTTCTGTTGTATTTTAAAACAACACTTAAAACTCAGCTCAAGACAAACCAATCATGTGATCACTGATCTAAACTTTTGTATGGAATCAACTGTTTTCCGAAACTATATAATGTATATTTTGTATATGATGTACTCTTTGCAAATGTGCAAACTGTTTTGCTTTTGTTTGCATTGTACTACAGTTTCCTGCCCAGAGACCGAAAATGCAAATTAGCTATATAGCTAACTCTGGCTAATAGTGCGACATGGTGTTGCAGTGGTTAGCACTGTTGCCTCACAGGGGAACCCTGGGGTGGGGGAGCCCTTCTGTGCGGAGTCTGCATGTTCTCCCCGTGTCAGCATAGGTTTTCTCTGGGTACTCCAGCTTCCTCCCACAGTCCAAGGACATGCAGGTTAATTGGTGACTCTAAATTGTCCATAGGTGTGAATGTGAGTGTGAATGGTTGTCTGTCTCTATGTGTCAGCCCTGTGATAGTCTGGTGACCTGTCCAGGGTGTACCCTGCCTCTCGCCCAGCGTCAGCTCAAGTACACCCACAACCCCTAGCAGGATAAGCGGTTACGGAAAATGAATGAATGGTTTAATAGTTGTGTTGTACATGGCCCCTATTAAATAAATTAATGAACTAAACTACTCTTTCCTCCTTCAGAGCTGTGGTCATGTAATGTGCATTCAAACAACATACATTTGCAGTCGCACACCGCACACCCTGAACTTAGAGCTGCAACAGAAAGAAATGGAAGAGGAGGGAAATGCCTCAGCATCCAGGCCCCTGACACAGAGTTTACTGGCAGAGTCTATTCAGAGAGGTTCAAGCAATGAATATCAGTGAAATTAATATTTTAGTCATATCGGATCTTCAGTATTGGTTAATGTTACATTTTCAAACTAATTGGTTATCATTAGGCGGGCGGTGGTGTGGTGGTTAGCACTGTCGCCTCACAGCAAGAGGGTTGCCGGTTCGATCCCGGGCGTGGGAGCCCTTCTGTGTGGAGTTTGCATGTTCTCCCCGTGTCAGCTTGGGTTCTCTCTGGGCACTCCGGCTTCTTCCCACAGTCCAAAGACATGCAGATTGGGGACTAGGTTAATTGATAACTCTAAATTGTCCGTAGGTGTGAATGTGAGTGTGAATGGTTGTCTGTCTCTATGTGTCAGCCCTGTGATAGTCTGGCGACCTGTCCAGGGTGTACCCTGCCTTTCGCCCGATGTCAGCTGGGATAGGCTCCAGCCCCACCGCGACCCTCAAGAGGATGAAGCGGTTAGAAGATGAATGAATCAATGAATGAATGGTTATCATTAGCTGTTACATTAGCAGACTGATTATTCACCTCATAAATAATCACACACTGCTCTCCTCTACATTAGAGTATAGAAACCACTTAAAAAGCATCAGTAACGTTATCAATATCAGCAATATTGACCCTGTATTCCTTGGTAGCGATTTAAAACAAAATTTTCTGACATCACCGAGACCTAGTGGAGATGAAAACATGACCCAATGAATGAATCATCAGGATTTACATATGTGGGGTGGACGGAGAGAAAAACTGACCAGCACAGATCACTTAACAATGTTATTTTAAGTCAAACCCTCCTTTACTACATAGAGCCATGTTGCACCACAGATACATTAACACTGTACATAAAGCTCACATTTGCAGTCAGATAGATTCTCGTCCATTGGCTAAATTCTATGTCATCACCTAGAGCTGATTTGTTCCCAAGAGTTGAAACACAAAAACGACTACTTAAGCCCTCCTCTCTGCATGAACTTCAACCTCCCTGCCAAGGTCAGGCTTAACGCAATATTCTGCTTATTGTTCTTTTTTCTTTTTGCTTCTGTAGACAACATTTGTGCTCTTTCCTTCCAGTAAAATTCCCCGGAGGAGAGGGAGGTATGGATGAAAAGCCAGTGCAGCAACCTCAGGGCTGACTGAGCTGGAGCTCGCCAGAGGAGAAGGAGATTACATCCACAGAGGCTGGGACTGATGCCCCTGCCCATAGAAATAGGTCAGGCTTGCAGGGTACGAGAATCCCGAAGGGCGGAGGGAGGTTTGGCGAGTCCTGGAGGTGAAACTATAAAGCCTGGAATCCATATTAGGCTTAAATGTAATAAGGTGCTTCATACACGGATAAAAGCTTTGGGTTTGAGGTTAAAGCTGCTACATATTGCTTTATGATCTACTTTTTTCACTTGCTACTAGCTTTCTTTTTTATTTTCTTTGTCTGCATGACTTCTCTTTATTGTCTTTCTCTGGTATCTTTGTCCTTTCTTCTATTTCACAGATCTGTCTTCCAGGATGGATCCCCTCAGGACCGATCGGCCTCAGGTTTTCTGTCGCCCATCACCACACCCAGCTTGAGCTCATATGCTAACTATAGACTACAGAACCTAATGTGATCTTCATATCCTTCCATACCCTCTCCCCTCCTCCTCCTTCTCCATGTCTGCAGCTGACCGCATTCTCCCGCCTTGTCTTTTCCCTTAATCTCTCTCCTTGCTACCTCTCATTACCCCTCTCCTTCCACCTCTTCCTCTCTCCTTTTTCTGGCCCTACGTCTCTCTTCATTCTCAGCAAAGTCTTGTAAGTGGACACCCCCTCTGGGACGACGAGGAAAAACGAGAGCAGGAAAGAAAAAGAGGCTGGATCAATTTGTCAGGGTAGGAGGAGAACAGAGGGCCGCGCTATATTGATGGATCGGGGGATAACCTGTCCTGGAAAAGGAGATGGGGTTTAATGGCTGAGTAATGCAGCCAAGCACGACTCACACACCACCCCTCCTTATCTATCAACAAGCACACACATGCACATTCACACAGCCTTTTGACTTCTCTTCATGCGCTCCGTCTCTAATTTGCTGTGACAAAATGGTGCCTATCTCTGCATCCCTGCACCCAGACACCACAAACGGTCCTGCAAATGTCAGCTATGAGCCAAATATGTTGAGGCATGCTGTCTCTGCAGCTGTGTCAGTGTCTTCGCAGCGAGCTTGTGCGGCCCCCCGTGCAGCTGTGACCAATTCTTTTCACACAGGAAAAACAAGGAAACACAGGTGCACTTTGCACCCATGATGTCCTCTGGAAGGAAGTGAGGAGAGGAAGAGAGATAAGGAGGTATGGGTTGAGAAGAGGGAAGAGGGAGGAGGGGAGCTGACAGGGATCTATCCCCTGGGGGATGGGAGGGTGGGAAGGACAGAGGGAGGCAGAGAGGGATGCAGGCGGCGAATTATGGTGGATTGGGGGTTGAGGTTGAGCGCGGCGAAGACAAACAAGCCCAAGGAGAGTCTGTCTTCAGTGCAGACGGAGAGCTGATTCATGATGGAGGTTTGTGAGGAGGAAAAAGTGACGAGCATCGAGAGGATGTTTTTTTTTACATACCTATTTGGCTTCTGCCCGGAGGCTTCACCTTTAGTTCACTTGTCAACTCTGGAAAACACAAGAGAGACAAAACCACAGGAGGGAGCCATTAAGAGACATAAATATATATAAAAACACATGAAATCATATTATTAGAGCTTAAACACTGATGCTCAATGGTGCTGAAATGTCTTAATACAGCTGTATGCTGACTATTGCTGCTGCTGGTTAACAAAACAGATGCTCGATGCAGTTTGCAGCGCGTTCTCACTGAGCTCATACATAATTCATGAAGCTAAATATGAAACTTTACATAAAAGACTGCACGTCAGAGACTTGACCGATGATGTTACATTTACCTGTCACACTCTGGGGAAAAACTCTCTCTACTGCGACCTCAATAAGACATATTAGCATTATTAGCATTCCTCACTGGAATCAATATTCACTTAAAGAAAAACTACTGGCTGTGCAATACGGAAATGGGGTTCGAGGAAATGCAAACTAAACAAATAGGAAGTCGCCCCCCAAGAAAAAACTGGAGTAAAATCCAGAATGCTTACCATTAAGCAACATAAGCAGAGCTACATTCATCACAACACGTAATGCAGGTTAATAACTCTTTACACTTTGTTTTGCAGATTTCAACATTTTTACCCAGAGCTACATTTTCATATTCTGCAGACTGATTGATTTGACAGGTAATGCATGATTTTTTTCTGGAGAACTGGTGAATACAAATGTTCTCAAGTGATTTGTGTGCTGTGCAACATATGAGGTTGACTTTCTGTTGTGTAGTTTGTGTTTCCTCTGAATACTGTTACACTGTCCGTGTCACATTGTAGATATTTTTATTGCCTTGCATTAGTGGATGCTCTTCCATTTGTCTTGTGCCATAAAAATAAAAAGTCTTGCACAGCCAGACCTTTCTAGTGCAGTGTCAGCGCTGGAGAAAGGTTGGGCTGAACCCATCACAATTCTGCACTGAGGGGGAAAATAAAAGCTCTGGGTTGTTTTTATCTCTCTACACCAATCACAGTCTTTGGCAGCATTGGACCCAGGACGCATCAACAGTGCTCTTTTGCTAAAAAAGTCGGGAGGGAATTTGTTTTGGTGTAACATTTGCATGTGGGAAATCCAGCCCTGGCATTAAAATTGTCAGGGTTTGAATGTGATGTTCTGTTTCCTGTTTTATTTTGAAAGTCTGTTGTTTGTCTCCCCATGTCCTGTCAAGTTTCACATCTCCTGATTGTTCACCTGCGACTCATTATCTCCCCTGTCAGAGTGCATATAGATCTGCGTCTTCCCTTTGTTCTCTGCTAGTCTTGTCTTCGTGAGAGCTTTCTGATGTTCCTCCTTGTGCGTGTTTCCTCGTGAGATTGACCTTTTTTTTGTATTTAGACCAGGAAGCTTTTGCCTGTTGATTTGGTTACCTCTGCCTGAGCTGACTGCCTTTTGTGTACTGACCCGGACTGTATTAAAAACCCTGAACTTTACATTGCGTCTCAGTCTGCATTCGTGAGTCCACCAATGTGTCTGATAAAAATGGCTAAAACCCTGGAAAACAAGGCCATGTAAACCATTAAATGCATTTCAGTGTGTGGGTTGCTAGCTTGATGGTCATTGTTTTTATGCATGGTGCTAAAGAAAGTGTGGAAATAGGTCTGATTATGCAAGTTTGACATAGGAACTAGAATTTTGAAAATGGGAACATTGAAGAATCAGAAGAGGAGGAGAATTCTGTCTGACGGTGCAGCTCCACTATACGTGACTGAGTCGCATAAATGCCGACTGCCCTGCCCCGCTGGTCGCTTGTCACTGCAGCTTGATTGTCTGTGTTGACGTGAGCACTGTTTGAATTTTTGTCATGCCCTCTCATCGCACCTCCAGCTTGGTCTCCCAGTATGCTTTGTGTAGCTAATCAATCACTTCAAGCACCCAATGAACGGGAGCGAATCTCGTGTTGTGTACAGTCGGGGTTGTTGGTCAGCTTTACCTGACTAACCTTAATAGGCAAGGCAAGGCAAGACAAGTTTATTTGTAGAGCACAATTCGTACACAAAGTAATTCAAAGTGCTTTACAGAACAAGAAAAAGCATTTAAATCACAATACAAAATAAAAACATAAATAATCATTATAAAATGAACTTTAAAAGAGAAAGAGTGCAGATAAGATCCTTTCAGTCATATGCACAGTGAAATAGAGCTGTTTTGAGCCTAGATTTGAACATTGTCAGAGTAGAGGCCTGTCTCACATCTTTAGAAAGACTGTTCCAGATTTTAGCTGCATAAAACTGGAATCCTGATTCCCCATGTTTAGTCCTGACTCTGGGCACCAGCACGAGGCCAGTCCCTGAGGTCCTCAGAGTCCGAGATGGTTCATATGGCACTAACATGTCAGAGATGTACTTTGGTGCTAGGCCGTGGAGAGACTTGTACACAAGCAGAGCTGCTTTAAAGTCTATTCTCTGAGCCACAGGAAGCCAGTGTAGAGACCTGAGCACAGGACTAATGTGCTCGTACTTCCTGGTTCTGGTCAGGACTCGAGCAGCAGCATTCTGGATGTACTGCAGCTGTCTTACGGCCCGTTTGGAGAGGCCAGTGAGCAAGCCGTTACAGTAGTCTAACCTACTAGAGACAAATGCATGGATAAGTCTCTCCAAGTCAGGTTTAGACACTATACCTTTGATTTGTACCTGTTAAAGTTCAAGTCTGAGTCCATTATTACCCCGAGATTTCTAACCTGATTTGTACCTTAATACCTTCTCTAACTACCTAGGTCACTCTACATGGACATCAACTGACAGTTACAACCTTGTACCATATTAGAAATGACATGGGAGCAAAAAATTGCCGTGCACTATGTAAATTAACAAAAAGGTCATCACCATCAACTGAAAATTTACTTTTACCCGCTATGTTTGTGCATATGACATCAACTCGGCAACAGACGTTCCTAGTTGTTTCCCAACTTGAGAGAGCGTTCATATGAATTTTCCAAGTCAGGAGCTAATTTTTCCAATTATTCTGACGCTACATGAATGCAAACAAAAGGCCTGCATACATCCTGTGAGCCAAACTAAAATACAGACAACAGGCAGCAGACAATCAGCAGCCCGCATGTCTCAATTTTAGATTGGACAATAAATCAATGACTGTATGACTTTTTTTCAGTAGTGCAGGACGTATTTATAGAGCTGAATGACATCATTGTGAGTTACCCCACCAACATGATTAGGGATTATCCAAATATTACGTGATATGATATTATATCTGGCATGCCAGCGGTATTAGATACTGGACGGATTATATCTCATGTAAGTGCATTACACCATCTAATGGTTTATGTTTTTGAGTAGATAATGTACCAGACTGGTGTATGGTACTTAGCTATTAGCAGGGCTGGATGGTCCTGGATAAAAACATTTCAGCTTAGAGGGCTGTGCAAGGTTGGACCGCCGGTCGTTTACGTCCTGTCAGTCATTTCGATGGTCATTCAGGGCGGCTGGACTGCAGGGAAATGTCGACATTGAGCTTTCAGCCCGCGCTCAAACATGGGAATGTGTCTGCATGTGTGCGGCTACAGTCATTTTTAGATGAATGTGGCATAGATTTGTCCTATTTTAATTTCCCACAGCCAGAAATATGTGACTCTTCAATCCACTATGGGTGACGATTAAAAACTAGTTTCATTTTCTTTGAAAAAAGGAGAAAGCCATCATTTTAAATTAACTCTAATAACACTCACTTGCTTGGATGTTTACAAAAAAATATGAAGCAGAATGTAGAGCAGCAGATAGCCTTTCTTCTCCCCTGCTCTCCCTGTCACACCCTTTCTCCTTTCCTCTGCAGTCAGCATAACACGCCCACCCATGCAGCTGGCATGAAAAGACAGAGAGGGGATGAAGAGGGTGGGAGGACAGATAGTAGGGAAGAGAGGAAGGAAATCAGGGAGGAAGGGGAGGGATAGAGGAACCCCAGATAGGCAGTTCTAGACAGACAGCCTCGCTGATTGCTTTTTAAGTATTAAAGTGATGACCAAATAATGAAGACTGTGAGAGCTCCAGTTTTCTGTCTTCATTCATAACTGCCAGAATCACTCATGAAGTTAATTTAACCACCAGTCGGCTCTAGGAACTATTTCTTCAAACAACAGTCAAACAATGAAATCGAGGAGCTCAGCACATTGCAGCGTTCAGTGTGTGCAACACTTTGCAGGTTCGGCTTATCTCGTGCAGCCTCATTGAGCATTTCAAGGTTTTCGTTTCATGGCTTGACCTTGAATGTCGCCAATATATCTTAAACGACACACACAGACCTAATTGATTTCTATGACACACAATAAAGACATGATATCAGAGGAAAAAGCCCCAGTTTCATAAACAGAACACAAATTGATTTAGCTCGTTGTTCAAGGAGACAGAGGAGCCTTTGTGGTGATGAGGATAAGAGTTTAGAACAATAAAATAGAGGTCAGCAGGACAAAGTCAGAGCTTATTGTCACAGCAACATCATCAGCTCAACCTTGCATCATCCTTCCAGGCTGCACGTTAGTGAACTGGCAGCAAACACCTCCCACACCTGCAAACTGTATCCGCACCTCGTCTCACAGCTGTCATTCAGACCTCCATTCCTCACCTCGGTTTATATCTGTGAACCTCTTTGAAAACAAAAACTGAGAGGATGACAAGTTATACATTTTGACAAAATGTGCGATGGACTGGAAGCAATACATCTGAAATCCTCTCTGGGATTTCAAAGTAAATCATTTTCCTGGGAGGATGAGTGATAGCCAGAGAAGAGCGTTGAGATTTACACTACGCTACTGCCTGGCCTGCACTACCATCCAGGCAGAGCGCCTAATCAACACCTGTGCTTAGTTGAGCACAGGTGTTGACAGCTCTGAGAGGGAGAACTAGCAACAACCCTCCCTAACAACATGTACAACTTACAAAACTGAAAGATGTTAAAGGAATGAGCCTCAAAGGGACACTTTGCTGATTTTCAACCAGCTCAAATTTGTTGGACGACTCTGGCTCTAGGGCTGTTGGCTGTAATTGAACAACAGATAAGGCCCGTTTCCACTGAAGAAGTTCCTGGTACTATTTGGGGGGCAGGAACTACTACAGGAATGTCCTCTCGCTCGGCCCTCTCAACCGCCGTGTCTTCACTGAGAGAGCGGAGTACGAGGAAGGTTCCTGTAAAGTTACGGGCTCTGGATGTGACGTAATCGTTGCGCGACCATTTTGACCGGGGCGACGTAGGGACGTTGTTAGCTGTTAGCCGATAGCGGTGTCTGTGATAACTCAGTAAATGGCCCGTGAAAAAAATATTTTTTCCAGCGGATGTCTTAGTTACAACATGATTGAGCTAACTGGAGTAGTTTCATGTCGTATCCGACAAAGGGAGGCTTTTAACAGATGCTGTTGTGAGCTGTCCCTGTCAGCGGCAGCCACTGATGCTTTCTAGACATCGTGATTTCCCATAACTGAATAAATACCACACATAGCAACACAAAACTGTTTTGCTAGCTCAATCATGTTGTAACTAAGATATCTGCTGGAAAAAATTTTTTTTTCACGGGCCATTTAGTGAGTTTTTTTTACATGGCGGCGGAAGCTATATGAACGAGCTAACCCTCGTCGGCTGAGTTTTAAAAATGCCGGCTATTCTGTAGCTTTCTGTTCACATCCCTCCTTGAGTATATCCAATCAGCACCAAGTAATCCCAAGCCCCAGCCAGGAGTTTCTCGGGCCGTTCTGAGTACCTACTCCGAGGCAGGGACTTGTTTAGCCCCTGTAAAAGTTCCGGAACTCTGTCCTTAGGGGGTGGTTCCTGCGGTGGAGACACGCACCAACGGCCCCGGCCCCGTAAAATTACCCCAAAGTTCCTGCGGTGGAAACGGGCCTATACTTCGCATATTCGTAGGCCTGCCACCACAGGCTCAAAGAGTATAGAAGTAGTAGTGGGAGATCTGCCCCTCTGTCTCTCACACTTTGCTTAAACAGTGAGGACCCATTCACACTGGCGCTATTTGGTCCACTTTAAACAAACCCTGGTCCGCTTCCACAGATAGTTCGGTTTGTTTGGAGTGGTGTGATTCAAACTCTGGTGCTGATCAAACAAGCGAACCCTTGTTGGAGCAGAAAGAGCACATACACTTAACTTTTAAACCCATGGACCACAGATTGGAAACAATCTTTAATAGCACCGTTTGAGCTGCTCTTTGTGTACACAGTGGTGTTGGTGTGTTTGACTAACAGAGAGAGAGAGAAACAGACAAAGACAAAGACTGGCGAGGTCAGAGAGACTAAAGCCCCGTTTCGACCAAACATTTCTAGTATGGTACCTTTGGAACCAAAAGTAACCCTTCAGACATGGTACCTACTGTAGACCCTAGCGTTTCCACCACAAACAGTGCCCTTAAATGTGGGCAGGGTTGTTTACACTCACTGCTCCATCCAGCACTCACTGTATTTCCTGGCTCTTATAGTTACGGTTTACTAATATATATAAAACTCTCCACGGTATGAACAGTGGTTACATGAGACTCAAAACCAGCCACAACTCAGCCCTGAGCAGAGTGACCGTCCTCTATTGACCAATGAACAGACTGCAGTGTTCACAGCTCCACCTTTAGTACCAGATCTGTGTGCTAGGTACCCCAACAGAGGGGGGACCAAAAATGGGGACGGTACAGAACGGTTCCGTAGGTACCATCCACAACTTTTCACAGTGGAAACGGAAAAAATGTTGAACTGTACCGTACTGCTCGGTGGAAACTGGGCTTAAGTCTCTCTGTCCTAATTAGTCTTTCTCTTTGTCTACCTCTTTCTCTCTCTCCCTCTCTCTCACACACACACACACACACACACACACACACTGTAACCACAATGCACAGCTTTATTGACCAGATGTGATTGTACAGCTGAGCTACAGAGTGACAGAGGTGATGGAGGGGGTCGTTTTCTACACAACTGGTTACATTGGCTCTGAGCCATCTCATCCTTTCCCCTTCTCTCTCACACTCACACACACACACACACACACACACACACACACACGGACTGAAGACATTTTACAAACAAAATTGGACAGCCTGCTGCCCTGATCATATTTTTTGACACAACATAAACAAATTTCTCACACAGTGTCCATCAGGGTGCCCCCCCCTCTCACAATGTTATGTCAAAGCAGGACAAGTTATGTTTTTGACCAGAAAGCTTAAACATGGAAGACAAGCCTCAGCTCAATCTCCGAAGTTAACTTCTACATTTCATGTATTATTCAACTTTTCATTGACATTCATACTAACTGGACCCTTTTCCACTCTTTCAACTGTTCGTATCACTTCACCTCATTCTTACACATTGAAGCCAGCATTGCACTCAGCTTTTCTAAAACCTTGAACTATTCCACAGTATTGTTATCGTTCAACTTTTCAATGTCATTCATACTGATTTAACCTGTTCACACTTTTCCAACTACTGCTACTACTTCACCTTCTTCTTACACATTTGTGCCAGCGTTGCAGTGTAGCGTCACCTTTTCAATATTCCACATTATTAATGTATAAATGGCATTATTCAACGTGTAAAGCCAGCATTGCCGTGGAGCACCAGCTATTCAGAATGCAGCTTTCACACTTGGGGTGTAAATCACTGGTTTTATCACAATACAATATATTGATTCTTTGGACGACGCTACGATACTTGCTGATATTACAAAGTCTGCCGTGACATGATTTCGATACGATTCAATTCAGGTGCCTGCCATCAAGATGAGACATTATCTGCTATAATATTGCTATGGAAGCAAACAGACTGAGACACTTGGCATAGTGAGCCTGAGAGTGATAAACTCCACCAACTGATGCAGGTAACTCCATGTTAAGGAGGACAGCAGATCGTGCCAGTTTTCTAACCTGCGACCACGCTCACATTTTTGACACTACAGGCACAAATTTCACACTGCTGATTCCTCAGGTTGTCCTCTCTCTCAGGGTGTACAAATTAAAATGATCTGAGTTATTGTGTTTGAGGAAAGACCAGCAGTTTGATGGGAGTGCTTCAACTAAATCTGTATGAGATTAACTGCCTTAGCCAGGAGTCACTGAGGAGTTAACATTACCATGGCAACCAGAGCTCACACACACACACACACACACACACACACACACCCCTCCCCCTGCTCTCCCCCCTGTGTTTGTTAACCACAATCCCGTTCATATGGATTGCTAAAGACATAGGATCTGTGGATTAACCCTGATGGATGATATGTTTGAACACATCTCTCTGAGGGTGTATAGTGTGTGTGTGTGCATTGTGTTAGACTTGTATGTATGTGTGTTTTCATGTGTGCTCACTCAGTCACATAAGGGGATTCCCCTCCACAAACCTGCCCCCCTACAAGGCTAAATATGTATCTGAAGGTATATACATGTTTTTAGGTGAGGGTGAGTGTAATGTAAAAGGGTCAGCAAAGCCTCCAGGGAATTAAATAAAACATCCCCACAATTATAGTAATGCAACTGTGTGTGTGCATGTGTTGTGTGTGCATGATCACATGTGCACTTGCTCACTTGATTAAATGAACGGCATATCCATTAGGCCTGAACAGGAAATGATGTAATCTACAGGAATTGAGGCATGACATCACCATGTAGTCATTGTCTGGCATTGATTGATGGTGCGCACACACACACACACACACACACACACACACACACACACACACATCAGATGAACAATGAGGCCTGTATGCACATGGAGAGATTTAGTTTCTCTACTTGAGATGAAAATGACGATAAATGCTGTAACAATCGCAGCTTATGTTCCGTCTGAATTTAAATATCGATCATGTCGTCTGTTAAATGAAGGTGAAATCATTCAAAATGAGTTGCAGATTATCCACAGCTCTACCAGGCTTTATTGGTTATCATTAAGTAAAAAAAAAATAGATCAGAAAAGGACACAAAACTGCCTCCTTCCAATCATACATCACGCCTGTAATTAAACATCTTTGCAAATCTTCTCTCCGAGGGTAGGGGGTCAATGAGAGGGGTCCTTGCTGATTACAGCAGCAAAAAAGACACCACAGTAATCCTTCTCATTAGCACTGAAGTCATTATTCAGTCATTAACAAAGACTTTCAAACAAAGATCCCGAACATTATCTGGTTCCAGCTTCTTACATGTGAAGATTTGCTGCTTTTTTCCATCATATATAATAATGAAGTGAATATATTTCAATTTGGGGGTGCTGCTTGAACAGTACAACAGTCTGAGTACATCAAATTGAAGGGATTTTTTTCATTTTGTAACATTTTTATAGGACGGAAAAAGGGGAAATTGTCATTAGCAGATAATAGTCGCAGCCCTGGAGGTGATAACAAGTAACGGTATATATCATTACAGCTCATCTATCTATAAAGCATTAATAAACAATTAAAAAAGAAACAATAATGGCACTCAAATTAAGACGTATGACTGGAATGAGACTCTAAAATGACCACAAAGAGACACAAAAGCATGAAAAGATCGATAACACTACAAAGAGACACAAAACAACAACAATAAAGAGGCAAAACCACCACAAAGTCTTAGTGTCTTGCTCCTATGTGGGACAGGTGGTGGGGCCTTTTGAATATCTGCACCCAGGGGCCCATTGTCTCATGATCCACCCATGCATAGTGTCAACATTGTTGCACAGAAGAATAGTACACTAAATAAGTCAGGAAGTGTTAGTGAACATTTTTGGGTCACTTTAAAGTTTCTTGACCCCCTCACACACACACACACACACACACACACACACACACACACACAGTCACAGTAACATCAGCAGTAGTGTGTCCCTCACCTGCGCATCGTTTCTGCAGGGACAAGATCTCCAGGTGGAGGCCGTGGAGCAAAGTGAGGTGCTCCTGCCTGAGGAACACCATGCTCCTCTCCACACTCTCTATCTGCCGAGACAGGTTGCTCTCATCACCCATGGCTGAGTCTGGAGGGACAGAGGGAGGGAATCAGGAGGATGGCTCTGACAGATTTTTAAGCATCCATCTCGGCCTGTCTCCAACACACTATACCTTTTCCAACTTCAGCTTGAACTCCTGATGCTAAATGTCACTTTCGAACAGTGGGAACATTGCTTATGTCAGCCACAGAGAGAGGAGAGTGCAAGTTGTGTATTGAGGTCATGTGGGAGCTATAAATAAGGTATTGATGACCAGGGAAATCAGCAGAAATGGGAGAGAGCATGCACCTTCAGTCAGCATCGATAATAAAGCATTAGATGTGATGTCTCTGCTTACCTTTGATTTTACGTTAAGTGCCAAAATCTGCTATATATGATTCGCAAGCGTTATAAAAACGTCCTCTGATCCGCGCATGCTGGCCTCCAGTGCTGCTCCAAATCCTGTGGGCTGCGGCATTCACCCAAACACATTTTATCTGAAGCGTTAAAGTGCTTTCCAGCTGCATGTGACGCCGTTTGATTAAAGGACGAAGAGGCTGGACCGCTGCGTAAAAATGCAGAACCGCCACGGTGCATGGCGCCGCGCTCCTCCCGCAAAACCGCTCCTCGCCGCAACATGGAGCATCACCGTGGAGGGGACGTTTTCAGACGCGTCGATGCGAGAGCCCGTGAGGAAAGTGCGCAGTCCATTTTTCAACATGCGCACCCTTCATCCTCCTCGCCCACCGACTGAGACGCGGAGCTGCCGTGGACTGAGGCTGGGGTGATGAAAACAAGGCACCGTGAGTAGAACACGCGAGAACATCGTACGACGGAGGCAGCGGGACAGCTGATTGGAGGGACCTGCCCAAATTAGCCATACGTAGACTCTGATGAGGATCGATACAAAGCACGCGCGTGGGAGTATAGGCTACAAAGGAAAACACGCCATGAGAAAAGAATAAAACAAAAACAAAAAACAAAATGTGACTTGAAAACAATCTTAATTTCCAATTGCTGTAAATCAGTCTCATTTTATATTATGAGACTTCATCTTTATTAGACAGGTGTGATTTCTGCATCATGGACAGAGACATCCCAGGATGCTGCAGTGGTTCTCAACCTGGGGGCCGCGGACCTCCCGGGGCGTTAATTAATTCACAAGGGACCTGAGTGGCAAAGTCCTAAAAGTAAGAACACAGAAAATAATTAGAGGTTAAAGCAGACGCTGGTAACGTTTATAAGAAAAAAAAAGATTTCTGTCATAATTGACACTAAGCCCCGCCTCTTTGTGATGGTCCAACAAGCTGTCAGGGTAAGCATGGAGCCCACACTGTAACTAACTGCACTCCCTGACAAAATATTATTTTTGGAAAAATGAACCAGTGATTCCAGAGAGAAGCAGACAGAGGGGTCTACAGTCTGTGTTTGAAGGATATATCCAGGATGTCAAACTGACTCAGCAGTAGACTCACAAGTCAGTCTTGAGACGCTTTGCTTAACTAAAGACTGATGACTTTCTCCCTGATTTTGTGTTTAGATGGGCGGATACAATTTCAGAGTTTAAAAAAACTCCCTACATTGCAGAACCAATAGTAAATCTGCAGGGCGGTCCTTCAGTGGCTCGCTGAACTCTTGTGCTTGTAAACATAGTCCGACTAGAAACACGTGTAGCGGTACAAAATGGCTCAGCCGCGCTTGCAGAAAATGCTGTCAAAGTTAGTGGATGTTTGTTGCGTTTGCGGCGACACATTCTCGCCAACTAAAAGAAACAAACATAATCTTTTACAAGGCCATGACTCATCCGTCCGGCCGGACTATAGAGGGATTCGCCTTGTTGTTTACAAATACTTCCGGGTAGAAAACCAGCAGAGCTTTTAGCTATATATATAGCCTATATATCACATTTTTCACATCACTGTATCACCGTTTAGACTAATCCGATGTTTGTAAAGTCTATAAACACAATGTTTGAACAAACATTACTATTTCTTAGCCGTTAGTGGTGTCTGTAATAGGTAATAACTCATTAAATGGTCCGTGAAAAAAATATTTTTTCCAGCGGATATCTTAATTACAACATGAATGAGCTAGCAAAGCAGTTTTGTGTTGCTATGTGTGGTATTTATTCAGTTTTGGGAAATCACGATGTCTAGAAAGCATCAGTGGCTGCAGCTGACAGGGACAGCTAAAAGCAGCAGCAAAGCTAACATCAGGACGTCATCTGTTAAAAGCCTCCCATTGTCGGATACGACATGAAACTACTCCAGTTAGCTCAATCATGTTGTAACTAAGACATCCGCTGGAAAAAATATTTTCTTCACGGATGAGCACACGTTTGATAAAACGGAGTTCAATCTCTCGGCATCCATTTTCAAGCTCTCTGTGTTTGTTTCCTTGCGGACGAGAAAAGGGGAGCGCACATTTCCGAGAAGGTGTGTCCTTTTCAAAAATGCAAGAGGCGTTGCTTTGTTGCCAGCCGTTTTCGCTGGTGTGTTAAGCACACTTTAGAAAGGAGTGTCCCCAGACTATCAGAAGGCAGAGATCTCTGATTGGTGGCGAGACTAACTCAGCATCAACAACAGGTTAAAAAGACAAAGATAGTTAGAGGCTAAAGCCGAACTATAGGCTACAGATCACAGTGTAAAAGTGAACCACCACATCACTGCTGATCGCCACACAAGACAATGAATATAAAGGGAACTTTGCTGATATTGAACCAGCTGTGTGGCATCACAGTGTGTGCAGATGAACGGTGTTTGGCTTCGCCTGGAGTGTTCATCCGGGCACTGGCGGCAGTGGTGGGGAGCTTCGGGGAGTTTGCCTTGCCAACTGTAGCAACTGATTTAAACTGAGAATGTCAGATCAAGAGGAACCTATTGTTGATAAATGTATCAGACTGTACTTCAGCCAAGGTCCAACACAGCCAGAAATTGTGTGTTGATTCAATTCAATATGCTATTTTGGCACAATTACAACAAAGACATTATTGCCAAAGCATCTTTCTGTCAGAGATCACATTCACACCAGTCCTTGTTGGAGAAGACTAGTTTGGCTGCAACTACACGTTTATGAATCCTTCCTGACAGTCATGACAGTAATCTGTGTATGTAAGTATGTATGTGTGTATAAATGTACACATATATATATTTACTTTTTTTTTAATATAACCATGTAATTTTTACGATGACAATGTAAACAGCCACTTTGTTTGCTGATGACAGTCTGTACACGTACTGTAGGCACTGAGCGTATGGGATTGTGAATAGCGACAGCTCTGTGTATGGACTGTATAGATGTGGGAACTGTATGTATAAAGGTTTTTTGTATCTTTTAACAGCAGGTACCGCATGTGTTTAAAACAAATTTCCTTCAGAACAATAAAGTCTGTCTTATCTTAAAGGCTGAAATCAGGTGTGATCAAATGAACCAGACACTCATTTTGAGTTCTTCATATTTATCCTGTGATCTTGAGAAAACAAGGCATTTTCACCAGCAGGTGAAGACATGAAATACAATAATTTTCAATGTATGTGATATTCATTTATGGTTCCAATTAAGAAAAAGCATGTCGGCCTATTCTATTAGTTAATAATAAAGCAGATATTGGCCGATACTGATGACGTACCAATATTATCAGCATATTGGCCAATATTTCATTTTTAGGCCAATATCTGCTGATACAGATGACATGCAGATATTATCATGCATCCCTACTTTTACATTGTGGTATGGCTACTTTCATTTAAATGTTCAGAGTATTTCTCTGCAGTATTTTTAAGTATCACTGTATCTAGACATTGACAAGTATTTTAGATTATTTACACATCCTCCTGAGATCCCGTTTCGGTGACATCACATTTTGGGTTTACTGCACCTTGTACTTTACTCTAACACTTGTTGTCCTTGTTTATGGACACTTTTTTTGTGCCATCTAGTGGTAGTAAGAGCACAATACACTAATCCATGTAAAAACAAGCTGGCAGCTATGTCTGCCAAGTCAGTCTGCAGCTGATCCTGATGAAAGTGGACAAGGTCCAAAACCTGATCAAATTTTATGGTTGAGACTTGTTTATTGATGATTAATTATGTTCATAGTTTGATATGCCATATTCATTTTTTTTCCCAATTTTAGCAACAGTAACAAGCTAAGACACTGTAAAGTAGCGGTTTGAAGACATTGGAAATTTATCATCAGCTTGTTGAAGGACATTAAGACTTCAGGTCCTACTGTTTCAAAATAGCTAGAAGAAATTAAAAATGCACACCAAACAAAGGTTCAGGTCTCAGGAGGACATTAATTCCAAAATCTGCAGTAACTTCAGCTGTCAAAGTAAAACCCGACTGTGTCAGTGAAAGAAAAACACAACACTTGTTCCTGTGATCTTTATTTTCACATTAAACAAATAATGTTAATATATAAACATATAAATTGGAGTTTTAATTACAAAACAATCTGTCAAAACATGAAAAAATAAAACTGTTATATTTACACCTGAAGGCAAAGTTCTGTGAAACATGGCAGGTGACCTCAGTTGGTCTTGGCTGCTGAAGTATTCCATGTGTTTTCTCCTTAATGAAGGGTTATAAAGTCCTTGACATGCTGCACAGTGTCAGTATCGTCTTCACTGTTGTTATGAAAGTCATTTTTATCAATAGAACATTTTCACCAACCACCAGGACACAAAAGGAAACATATAAATGAAAAAGTAAGGATATAAAATTGGTATTATTTGTTGGTTGTGGAAAAGAAACCACCATGTTTACTGTCTATGATGAGAAATAAGAGGCAGTGTGGCAACGTGACTTCATAACCGCTGCCACTTTGTCCTGAAACAGTTTGTCTTGTATCAACTACATACAAATATAAAACCACAACATGATCCTGTGGCCTCCTCGGGACGATCATAGTTAAAAATCAAAGCCATACAGAGAGCAAAAAAACAAAAAAAATAAAGGACGTTGTAGCTTGTTTTTGGCCAGAGGTCCCTCAGCATCATTGAGACATTTCATGAGAGGAGCATCCCGACTCGGCTGCTATCACAATTCCTAAAAATCACACAGCAACGTAACGTATAATTCCAATAACATTACAGCCTTATACGACATTCAAAATTATGCTTGTTAGAAAGAACTTCAATTGTCACCAGTTGTCTTCACTACAACCACAACGTTAAGCTGCCCTAAAAATCTGAAGAAAATAAAATTCAAATCTACATTCACGTTCAAGTTCTTGATCTTAAAATCTGGGAATCAACCATGTCAACAATAACGAACAAACTCTTCCTCACAAACAGTGCGATTTTCTTAAGTGCAGTGATGTCTTGATTTTATTGTGGACAAAGAGTTGAATTTTTGTTTGTATCATTTAATCAGCTGCGTTTACAATTTCTGTCTGTACAGTATGTTTGCCTCTGTTCATCTTGTTTGTAATATGGTTCGACAGCCTGGTTTTAGGGCTTGAGCATAACCACTCTCAAGCCTGGGTGACGATGAGCTTGCCCTTGTAGAAATCGGGTAACGTAGCTTCACTGTAATCAAGTGTTTTTCACAACAGGGACATCCATTGAACACTGTGTTCATTTTATCTTTAATCCACAACTTCTTTTTAGGTCAAATAAATTACAAATACACACAACTTAACCCCACAAATTATACACACACAAAAAATAAAGCAAAACGTAAATGGCATCAAGTATTTCCATGCCGTGTGAGGACTGTATTGCTATGATGTGGGTGGTAGAAGTAGGCAGCCGTGTGTGTGTAACAGTTGTATTCACAGATCTCAGACCTGTTTGTTCCAACACTTACCTCAGGAATTTCTCCGCATCTCTCCGTGCTTATTGGCAATTTCAAATTGAAAGGCAGGAGGTAAAATAAAGATGCCTCTGGCTGATCAGTGAGGTGATGTTGAGGAGTGTGCTGTCCTCCGAAGGCCAAATGAAGAATAACATCTGAGCTGCTGCACACTATAAACCATCACAGACCACTAAAAGAGTATATACAGACCATAAAAAGATAAATGTAACTTTGTACGGCAGCGCTGACTGTCTTTTAGCTTGTTTTGCTTTTCTGTCATTTGACAGGTTTCCAGAGTACTCGCAAATACGGCGGACAGCTGTGCCATCCATTACTGAAAGCTGATGTAAGCACATGTCAGTGGTGATGGCTTGAAATTGATCCACGAGCCAATTAAGTCAGAATGTACTTGATTTTGTTTTGTTCCTCTAAGATTTACTGACACAAGGACCAGCACAGTTTCCAATCTGAGGGGCACAAGCTGTTTTTTCTCCTTGATAATTCAATACAACTTGGCAAAACACAAAATGGCCACAACTGTTACGCTACAAAATATCACGCTGTTCTGCTTCAGCATCAACTTAAAAACCTGGTGTTTTATTTACATGCGTCTTCAAGGTATTCATTAACCCACCACCCTATTAACCTATTCACTCTTTAAAGGAATACACCCAAAAAGGATCATTTGTACATCAGTTACTCCCCTTTGTTCTGTTGAGTTCACCAGTAAAGTTTTGTTTTTCTTGTACGCCGAAGAATCCAAAAACGGAAAAAAATCTTGATGTATTGAAGTAATAAGGGTCCTAGTTTAACAACAGCAAATCTATATAACAACATCTGTTTAACTCTCATATGACCTGTACGATACAAGTCTTATTTATGCAGCCGTATCTTCATTATTTCCCGAATGTGCATTTTCATTAAGACATTATTATTTAAAACACTTCTGCATATGGGTAGCGCACCTAGGCACGGGCATGCGTTTGAACTCTGCTCATGCCATCGAGCAGAGTTTAAACGCACACACTAGCCCAAGGGTGTTAACTGTCTGTGTGTGAGAACGCTTATGTGAAAGTGTTTTAAATATTAAGGTTTTAGTGACAGACCAAAAAGAAGAGGAAGAACTTAGTGTAAGACTGGCTGAATGATGCTTGGATTATACTGCATGAGTTGTGTGAGAGTTTGTAAACAGATTTTTTATATAGATTTGCTGCAATTAAACATGGACCCCTATGACTTTAATTTATCAAGAATTTTTGTCAGTTTTTTGGATTCTTCGGCATACAAGAAAAATAAAACTTTCTTGATGAATTCAACACAACAAGGGGGAGTGACTGAGTTTGTAAACAGTTGTTCTGATATATTTTTGTTTCTGTTGTTAAAGGCAGACCCCATGACCTTAATTTATCAAGAATTTTCTCCGTTTTTGGATTCTTCTGCAGACGAGAAACGCAAAATTTTCTTGATGAATTCAACAGAACAAAGGGGGAGTAACTGAGTGTTGATATAGTTTTGCCGTTTTTGAAAGTGGACCCTTATGACTTTTTGAAGTTTTTTGGATTCTCCGTTCACCATGGAGGCATGCCAGAAAAAACAGAAGTTTTCTTCACTAATTCAAGGTAACGTGGTGCGAAATTAGCATACAGTTGGTCATTTTGTGGGTGAAGTATTCCTTTAAGTGAGGATTAGCATTTGCTGTATATTCTTACAAACATAATTCTTCAATATAATTTTTATCTTTACGTTTTCCTGCTCTTATAACAAAGAACCTGCTGAACACTGACACCGCAGCCTGTGTCAGAGAGAGGCAAAGAATAGTTATGAGCTTTCTGAGGTAGCGGATGTTTTTCTGAGTTGAGATTTGTTGGAAAAGAGGAGAGATATTCACTTCTGCTATGCTGAAAGAGTTTTGAGTTCACTGTTTTTTGTTTTTTTTTTTAGCTCAGAGGTGTATAAACGTCATGTGAGAGTTTAAATAGCCCACAATAGTGTATATAAATATACATGATTAAAAAGATATTCTTAAGATATTCGTACTTGTTTCCTATGTTTGATATGGCAACATACAGGAGCGTTGGTAGGTTCGTTCTACAAACAGTGCATCTTCACTTAGAGTAAATAGAACGGATGTAGCTGAAACACCCTGTGGGAAATAAGGCGTTTGGTGTCATTTTGCAAGGCCTTACATTGTATACATGAAGAATCCCAGGATCTACCATTAGTGAGTCACTAATGGTGCTTAAGGATGACTGGACCACACACACGTACACAAGCCTAAAGTTAAAACTACAGCTAAATGTAGCTTTAACACAATGGCTGTGTGTGACTTGCGTTTGAAGTAAGACCATTTGACTACACCTTGTGTGCATGTACCTGCAGAGTATGAGAGATAAAGCTTTGAGTATATTACACACAAGTACCAAATCTCAGCCACAGGGCGTCAACATACATTAGAGAGTGTGTTTGTGAATTATAATCCTTCTTGCATCCCCTCCTCTCTACATCTCCTTCTCTTTCTTGGTCTCCCGAGTGCTGCTCTTCAAAAAGTCGCTCCTGAGTAGCCGATAAAACAGGACAATATTCATGGCTGTCATGATGGCCATACCCACGCTGCCCAGTGTGTAGGCCAGGAGGGGCACCTTGTCCCTGTTGAGCACCAGCCAGCGGGTCATCCAGGCCAGTGTGTTGATGCGGAACACCACGTACGTGCCCAGGTTGATAATGCTGTTGACCCGGTACTGCGTGCCTTTGGTGTTGCTGGCCATACGCAGCATTTGCCTGAGGTGGAGGAACACAGAGTTTATCTCCACCAGCAGGGCCACCACGGCAAAGCCCACGTAGCGGTAGGACAGCACAGAGAGTCCAAAACAGGTGATCACCTGCAGAGGAAGACAGTGAGAAAGAGGACAAGGAAGAGGAGGGTTACAATGGATATAGTCGAACATATAAATAAAACCTTTTCAATACTATAAAGACACTGGAGTGGCTACGACATCACCTGTACAAGTGGTTCCCAACTGGTCCAGCCACGAGGTCCAGATTTGGGCTTAGTTATTAGTTCAAGGTCCCCAAAGTTTAATACATTCTATGTCATACTTGCATTTGACCATGCTGTCGAGCTAGTTTGCTGTCTCTGTTAAGTAGCTGTCCGTTAGTCACTCACTCTACAGCATGAAACAGCATTTCAAAATAAAAGTCTGTGTCCTGGAAATTCACCATACTTCAAAAAAAAGTTTGTTTTTTTACAAACTTGACACGTTAGCAAGTCACTTGCGGTCCATTCAGAATGGACCCACGACCCACTTTTGGACCACGACCCACCAGTTGGGAATCACTGACCTATACTACATCTGGTGTTCTAAAGCTGACAAATATGAGCTAATATTCCTACATGATTCCAATGCAAATATACGTATTTGTTAACAGCGGTGAGAAGGTACAGTTTAAGCTTTAAAGGAATACTTCAAGCCCCAAAGGACCATTTGTGTATGAATTACTCACTCTGTGTTATGTTAAATTTGTGAAGAATACTTTTTTCCCCCCATGCCTCCACAGTGAACGCACAATCTAAAAAAGGCGTACGTTCTTGATGAACTGGAATCGCAGGGGGCCGCATTCAACAACAGTAAAACTACACTGATACATCAGTTTACAAACTCGCACACAACTTGTGCAGTATAATCCAAGTCTCATTTATCCAGTCGTGTGCTCACTACTACTCACTACTACACTACCCAGACAGACAGCTCTTTAGGTAGAGAACTGACCTGACAGAGAAACTTATCTATGCTCTTTTCAAAGCCAGACTCCACTGATAAATACAGCAATTTTACCACGCTGAACAAAGGAGCTGCTGGTCTACCACTGTCTCGATCACTTCGTTTGTTTGTGTTATTTATGACTTTGGTGAATCCGAACTAACTCTTTAAATCACCATAGTCAAACAATAAACACAAACAAACTAACTCACAAGGGCAGTGAAGGACCAGTAGCTCCTGTGTTCAGTGAGGTAAAATTGGTGTTTTTGTCAGTGTCACTGTCAGTTCTGTTTTAAAATATGAGGTTTTAGTGAAAATGCATGCATCTGGAGAGTACTGAACAAACGGCTGGATAAATGACACTTAGATTATACTACACTAAGAATTTTCTTCTTTTTGGATTCTTCGTTCACCGTAGAGACATGCGAGGAAAAACAAAGTTTTCTTCCTCCAGGAAGTGTTTTTTGGTAAATGGTTAAAAGTGACAAGTATAGTAATATCAGCTTACACAATAGTATGCAGACATATGCATCTCTGATCTAATGTCTTTAAATTGAGGGGATTGCTTTAAATGTAGCAGTGTTCAAGATTAATTTCCATACTTCAGCTCCCTCTCTGTGCTCCTGCTTAAACAGTTTCATTCACTGTTGACAGTATTTTACTCAATGACCATGTGGAAGGACACCCCATGACTCATTTCCTCAGAACAGTGCTTAGTAAAGTTTGTGATGTAACTAACAGGAAATGTCCACAAGATGGCAGCAACATCACTCACAACCACCTGAAATACATTTCAACAAACTCCCTCCACTGACATTACACTGAGGAGTCTGCAGAAAGGATTACTGACAGTATCTAAAATATATTGTGACAGAAGTGAAAGCTGCCGTCTAACACACTCACACAGCAGCTGTGCTGCAGGTGTAAAATCTGGGCGACAGAACTGTGTTTATACCAAAACAGGCTGTCCGGCCAGCTCTCCACAGGGGCCTGCACCCACTCTCACACCACCACCACCACATTCACCAGCTTCATTCACACTCAGAGCACTCTCTTAGTGAAGCATGAGGACAAGCTGTGTTCAGACAGATTGTCCTCTAGTCTCAGGCTTCTCACCACCTAAGCTGCCATGTTTATGAATCAGGAGTGGACGGTGGCAGAGAAGGAGCACTAAAAGTAGAAAACTGTCTAAAGCAAGCTAGGTCTTCTGTTACAGGTCACGGGATACACTGTGGTGTGAGAAAATGATCTTTACCGTCAGTCATGGCTCAGTTCGAGAAGCATCTTGTGTTTGTGCATGTGTGAGGTCACATGATGCCCTCTGAAATGCACCAAACAGTCATGTGATGCACTGTAATGGGTTAGGCAACAGGGCATGTGAGGAAAGTCACCAGCACACAATCCCTCACTGGCCCTTGTTGTGTATCCACTGTAATGTGTGTGTCCTTGACTCAAATGTTCAAACTACACTGGAAACTTCCTCGAAGTCCACATAGCTGTAAAGAGCTGTTGGTCTTGGCAGTATTTCTTGTTAAGTGTACAGTAAGCGCACCGCTCACCCTCCTCCAAAACACATCCACAAGTCAAACTGTCATCAGACTGGAGTGGCACTGATCCAACACGGGGTCCTGGACAAGTCTGACCATTTGTTTTCAAGATATCCTGTCACGGCCTGAAGTGTTAGTCAAGAGAAAACTCTGACATGTAAGTGGAGCTACGGGTGACTAAAATGTCCACAAATAATCCTCTTTGTAATATCTCAATCTGGACTGACGTGTTGCACACACAGACCATCACCATCCTTAAATTATTGTCTGGGTAAACATTGATTTCACTGTGAATTACAATATTAAGTGCGATACTTAAAGTGCTTTAGAACGCAGTAAATGTCCTCAGGCTTAAATACATTTCTGATTTACTTGTAAAAATGTGAAGCATCCAGCCCCCTCAGGTCATCTGGGACACGTTTACGACATTTAGTCTCAATGCTCGCCCACCTGTGGAACAAGCTGAATAGCTGAGGTCTGCTAAAACAGTTTACTCATTTAACCCTTTTAAACCTGGATCGACATTCAATTTCTTGTGCTGCGTTCAGGTTCCTTTCACAAGCATTTAAACATCAAAACCTAAAAAAAAAAGGTTTGATTTCTATAGAAAACATGGGGGAAGAAAGGAATGAGCATTATTAGAAAGGTGTTATTATTATTATTATTATTATTAGAAAATTATCAAAAAACTTGGGAAATGTCAAGTTCTAAATATCTATTTAAAATTATGTTTAAATGATGTTACAGAAAATGTAATCAATTTTTAGCAATGTTTCTCAGGTAGTTTATATTTTTATGGGTTTTTGTGACTTTTTACTTTTTTAACTTTTCTTGTTTTTGGTTACTTTTTAATATCTTGCCAATGTTCTGGCCATTTTATGAATTTCTCATTGCCTAATTTCCATGTTTCTGAAAAATAAAATCAAGCCAATTTGCTTAGATTTCAAAGGGTTAAATTGAGGCTTAAAACATTATAGTTCACTTTGGCTTTCCAATAACATGACTTTTTCATTTTTTACCTATTTATTTATTTGTTTGTTTTTTTTTTAATACACAGTATCATTAAAAAAGTAATCACCATATTCCTGTGTGCAAAGGAGAAAAAAAATTAATAAAAGTAAAAAATTAAATTCAAAATAATAAAATTAATTAATAAATATAACTTTTCTTAAATCTGCAACTACTTATTTGCTTGTTTTGCTTTTCTTTTAAGTCATCTTTAAAAATTGTTTTCTTTTTTTTTTAATATATGTATTTATTGTTATTTAAATGCAATTTTAACATTTTCTATTCAATATATTTTATGTATTTTTTTACCCCTGTCAAACACTTTGAATTGCCTTGTGTCTGAATGGTGCTGTATAAATAAACATATCTTATCCTTGTGCAATAAATACTCTATTCTAGTGTAATTTTACAGGGGGTGTTTCTTTTACCTCGTACTTTAGAACCTGTGTTGTTGGCTGTGGATATTTATTTATTTATTTATTTATTCATTTATTTATTTTGTGTGTGTGTGTGTGTGTGTGTGTGTGTTTTCCTGTAAAAAAGTGTACAAAAGGTACAGGACAGCACTCCAATTATAATATTTGTACACTTTTTTTTACATTTTTCATTGAGGATTCAGCACCCATTCATACTTCTGAGGGTTGAGCGTGTTTGTTTGGACTTCTGTGTGTGTTTTCCTGTGACATTTTTACTGCACTGGTCAGTTCATTGTTTTCTGTACAGTGACAATAACGACTTTCTATTCTGTTCTGTAGCTGAACAATAAAAACAGTGATCTGAGGGTTGACTCTGACTCACACACACACACACACCCTAAATTATGCACAATACAAATCAACTCTTCACCTGTTGTCAGGTTACAATGACTGATGACAAACAATGTTGCTGAACAATCACAATGACTACAGTGAAAGCACCGTATTTAGCAACACAAAACGCCCGCATCATCACGATCAGCACCCCGGGAGCGAAAACAGTTATGTCAACAGGACTGATGGCTTTTCAGCACAACACAAAGCCGCACACACTCACAGCCATGTGAGGTCACGCTGCAGCGTGGAGCGGTCATTCACCTGTGACATTTCACTGTGGTGGCGCGACAGGTGCCTGTATGAGTGGTGATACAGGTGAGTGCAAACTGCTGGGTAAACAAGGTGTGTCATGACACCCTGTTATTAAAGTCACTGCGGCACACAGCAACAAATTAATCATCTAATTAAACTGGTAACCAGTGTCACATGGTTTGTGATCACTGGAGTCAATGAGTCCATCGGATTTAAGTATTAAAATCACAAATAATGGGTCTCAGTTCTGGACAAAATCAAAATGATCATTTAGCAGCAGTTTTTGGGTTAAACTGAAATGATGGACCTGCACTTGTATATGTCCTTCCTAGTCTTCCAACCACTCTAAGTGCTTTTCACACTACCAGACACATTCACCCAGTCACACACACATTCATACACTGGTGGCTGAGGCTGCCATACAAGGAGCCACCTGCTACTCAGTTTTTAAACACGCACACACACCAATCTTATTCAAGGATGCTTCCACATGTGGGCTGGA